GCTTGATTCTGATTAGGGAGTCATGTGTGTAGTGGTGGTTTTCCCTGGGGATGTTGGAGATGTCGTCAGTGTGACGGGTTTTCCTAACTCGAGAGTACGAGGACTGGTGCAGCATGTGCATCTGATTTCAAGAAGAGGACTCGTGGGAGTTACTCTGAGATTGAAAAATGGGTTTTTCGGTTAGCATGGAATGGATAGAGTGGGATTCGGATCAGGGATCCGGTGGTTCATCGTTTTCTAGCTCATATGGGTCGAGTAATTGTTGAGATTTGGAGCAGTAATGCATCATGGGAAGTACTCAGTTGTTGTGTGTGGATATCAGAGGGCAAATTCGGTGCCCGGGTTGAGACGGTGGTCAGGACACCACAAGGAAAGAGAAAGTGAGTTCGAGTTTCGATGGGTATGCCTTGAGAGACCTGGTCCGGTTAAGGCCAGGTGGCGTGTTGTGGGAGTATTTTTGGAGATGAGTTGTCGTAGACTTCGGGGCGAAGCCTAATTTAAGTGGGGGAGAATTGTAACACCCAAAAATATCAAGAGTAGAGTTAAAGGGCTAAAAGTGTAAATCTTGAAGGGCAACTCGGCGAGTCCATGGATGGAGTCGGCGAGTAGGGTCGCGACTTTGGTCGCGTGTTAAGTGGCCTACTCGGCGAGTCCAAAGATGGACTCGGCGCGTAGGTGCTAAGTGGAGAAAACCCTAATTCTCGGGGTTGAGCCCTATATAAAGAACTTAACATCCATTCCCCTAGCCTCTTTACTCATCCTCAAGTCCAGAAACCCTTAGCATTCGTGTGTGTGTGTGGATCAAAGTGCATTTGGGAGCTTGAAGGGTATTTGTTGAAGAAATCTAGGGAGTTTGGAGGCTTGGAGCAAGGGGCTTTGCTTGGATTCGAGTTTCATTGCAGTTGGGGCGTTCTTTTGAGGTAATATCTTGTTCTTGGGTTGTTACTCATATGGATTCATCATTTTGGGGTTTATGGGAGCTTATCTTGGTATGTTTTGGAGTTTGGAGGTTAGATCTAAGGTTGCTACCTCAGATCTGGAACGGGGAAGGTCTAGAGTGCATTAAAGTCCTTGTGTTTGAGTGCTTAGTGAAGCCATCATGTCCCAAACCCTAGCTCTAAAGTGTATAAGGCCTAGATCTCTTTGGATTCACGTAAAGTTTGCCACTTTACGTGATGGATGGGTTGTAGGAGGCTAGATCTATGTTTTGGATCAATTGCATGGCCTGGAACGCTTCTGTATGGATTCAGACCAGTGGTACTCGGCGAGTCACAAGGGTGGACTTGATGAGTTGCTTGAAGATGAGCTGGAACTCGACGAGTTGGATGAACAACTCGACGAGTAGGTTGAAGATAGCCTTAGACTTGGTGAGTCTGTTCTTGGACTCGACGAGTCTTGTCGAAGAATCCCAATATTTTCTGGTTGAGTCGAGAATCGATGAGTCAAGGGATGACTCAGTGAGTTGGGTGCGAGTGGACTCAGAGTTGTTGGACTCGGCGAGTCTCAGGGTGACTCGGCGAGTCAGGTCGCGAATTGAGGGAAGTTCTGAGCTTGGGGACTCGGCGAGTCATCGGGTTGACTCGGCGAGTAGAGTCAGTCAGGGGTTGACTAGTTTGACTTTGTAGTGTTAGTCAGCCAGGATCAAGGTGGTATTAAGTAGAGACATGCTTGTGTTGTAGGATGACGATAGCTCGGGAGATCGAGCGCTAGTGATTTCGAGATACGCGAGGTGAGTCTTCTCACTATACTTTACCTTGAGTAGGTATCCAGAGTTATGTGACAGAGTACTTGCATGATATGTATGTTATGTGTTGTACTGCATTATTTCTATGTGATTTATCATGTGCATGTTTACAGAGTTAGAACCGTAAGGTTCATAGAGTTAGAACCTGAGGGTTCACAGAGTTGGGTGCACGGACCCATAGAGTTATAGCCTCGAGTGGCTAATATGTGTTATATGTGGTATTTTGGGGAACTCACTAAGCTTTGTGCTTACAGTGTTTGATGTTATTTGTTTCAGGTAATAGTGACGATCGCGGGAAGGCGCCGGCTTGATCAGTACACACGCATGGGATTTATGATTTTGAGATCTTGGGATTTTGTATTACTTGGATTGAATGATTAAAAATGGTTGTTTTCTGAATATTAAATGAATTATGTTTTATAAAAATTTGAAAATTTTATTTTGAAATTTACGGTGTTACATTCTTCTTGGAGGAGGTGCCATTTCCTGGGCATCTAAGAAATAGACTTGTATTACTAACTCAACCATGGAGTCTAAGTTTGTTGGATTGTTTGCTACTGGTAAAGAAGTTGAATGGCTAAGGAATTTGATTTATGAAATTTCATTATGGTGTAAACCGATATCTACCATTTCTATCATATGTGATAGTGCTGCTACCTTGGCTAAGGCTTATAGTCAAGTGTACAATGGAAAATCTAGACATTTAGGTGTTAGACATAGCATGATTAATCGTGACTGGTGTGATATCTGTGGAGTTTGTAAGAACTCAATTTAATTTAGCCGATCATCTAACAAAAGGCTTAGCAAGAGATCTTGTGCAAAAGGCGGCTGTAGGGTTGGTTTTAAAGTCCACTTAAAATCTTTTATATTGAGATACCCAATTCCCATCTAATGTAATATTAGATGTTGAATTCAATGTGGAGAGCTTGATATTTGAAGATTGGAACACATTATTATCATCATCCTAAGGTATGTGTTCAGTACTACAAGTTAAGGAGGTTGAATTTATATTCTTAATAGTTCTTTTGAAAAATTGCATTTGCAGGTGCAAGAATAAAAGAACTACCTATATAAGCATAAAGTTTAGCTGCTTCAAGAAGTTAGGACTTGGCTTTGATATGCTTATTGAAGGATGGAACACAAGCTAGTAAAATATAGTGTCAAGTTAGAACTTATGAGAATGTAAACTGTTGTTTGTATTATCTTCATGTATTCACTATAGATAGAAAGGGTTCAATCCTTAGTGATACCCTGATATTCAAATATTTGGATTATATAATATACTAATGTGAAATTCAATCGTCACGATATTTCATTTATGCATCAGTTTTGTTGGTGTTATGTTTCATTTTAAGTTAATCAGGATTACACTTAAAGGGGGGAGTTTTGTTGGTGATTTGTTATCATCAATGTTATTTAAGTGTAATAGGATTACTTTGTTGACTAAAAATGATCTTGATAAATATTAAACAAGTATGGAAGGTGTGGATTACACACTTGTTTAAGTTTGATCATGTTTTAAAGTATACTTTCATTTAGGGGTGAAGCCCCTGAACGAATGGGGTCCAAGGGGTAGAGCCCCTGGCTAGTTGAGATAAGGAAGGTTTACAAAACCCGGATTTATAACAGTTTTTATTGTTGAGAAAAACTGTAATATGACAGTTTTGATAGTTTTTCAGATAAGGAAGGTTTATAACCAATTTTAGTCACTTTTCTGGTACTAGCGAAATTACACCATCTCATTCTCTCTTTCTTTTCACTCTGATTTTATCTGAGTCTTATCCAATTGAGGATTTGGGAGTACCACCCAAATACTTCGATTTGAAAGTGATTATCACTATTCTCGGATTTCCAAGTGCCACTAAACCATATTTCTAACAACACATCTCTCATGGAAACCAATATAAGTTGTCATAACCAGTCATACCTAATGGGAGAATACAAAAATGGGCTACTTTCATTCTTAATATGGTGTAAATTTGGGTGAAAACATGTTAATTTGTAAACATACCAAGGATTCATGTAAAATATGAAAGTGGGACATCAATATCTTTGAACAGAACGGATAAAGTCATATTTCTCTTATCCAGTTACTCCCTGAATTACTTCACCTTTCTGGAAGTTGGAATGCCCATATTTAACCTCTTTTTATACTCTATATCAGACTATTGGTTGCAAATAGGTATATGAGAACACGAAAAAAGATCAACAAGAAAAGAAAAAGAATTAACAAAGTCTGATCGGTTTTCTACAACCTTGCAAGTCTCAATAGCAAAAGAACCTTAAGAAAGAACAAGCCAAAATCTGCCATTTTTCCGATGTATGAATAAAAAAATTACGAAATCTGACTCCTCGGTTAAAAATCAAAACAATTACCTTACTTTGTGGATGTTGTTGGTGGCTGCATCGATAACGGTCACGTATGGTTCAAACATTGGTGATTGAGCCGATTCTAGCGAGTATATTAGGGTTTTTAGAGTTAATCAGCAGCGGTGATCTGATTGGCCATGAGGTTAGATCGTTGTTGTCGATGGACAAAGGATCTTGCTGTAAATGCCTGATTCATTGTGTTCGGAGGCGCCGGTGGCTGTGTAGAAGGGATAACTGGTGTTGACAACTTTGCTTGATGGTTACGTATTAAGGGTTGTGGTTGTACTTGGTTTGATCTGCAAAAGTTAGGGTAGTCAATGGTGGTACTTAGGTTTTAGGGAGATTGATAAACACGGTGTGCATCCATCATTGTCAGAGAGGAAGCCGACTTTGAGTCCTCCTACTGAAGCATCATCGATACAGACGCGATGAAGAATTGGAGATAGCTATGGAAAATGTGAGCTGTCAACACTTTTGGGGGAAACTAAATAAGAGGGATAATAATAATCAATAAAGACATGCTCCTAGGAATAGTGTTTTGTTCTTGGACCAATTTTTTTTTATCTAAATAATTTGGCCCTATTTAAAAAAAATAATAATAAAGACAGGCTGCTAGGAATAGTACTTTATTCTTGGACCAATTTTTTTATCTAAATAATTTGGCCCTATTTAAAAAAATTAATAATATCTTCCTTTTATGGATTGGTTTGTGAGTCTTTCTATGTACATGTCCACTCACCGTTTCAAAAATCTATTCATGTCACCAGCTGCTCTTTCAAACTACCCATCATCACTTTTTATGTTCTTTCTCTCCTAGACCTGGCAATTCATGTATCCGTGTCATGAAAACGTGTCAGCCATGAATTTGACATGATACGATTACACGATGAGAGATAAGCTTTATCTCAATTTTCAAGATGTATCTGTGTCGTGTCGTGTCTCTTACAGATTCATGTATTTGTGTTTTGGATTTCCAGGTCTAATATCTCCCACTGTTCCTCACCGACTCATTAAATCAAAGTTTGAGGGCTCCCATCTGTTACTAATCAAGAAAGAAAAATAGAGGTGGGCTCCTTCGATCCTTGACTGGTCAAAAAGAAACACGAAGGAGACATGTGGTGATGACGTTTTTCGATGGTGTTCTTTGGATGAAGGTGGCAAGGTGGGAGGGTCAACGATGGCAGTAAGGCATCATGGCAGTGGAGTGGTGGTAGTTGTCTCCGGAAGCAGTGACGAGGGACCGCTTCGGCCGTCTTTTGGACACGATCACTAAACCTCCCATCCCTTCCATTAAGTTTCTTATATACCTCAAATATCACTCTTTTTTATTTCTTTTAACGCTTCTTTCCATACTTGATCATTACACCATCGCTCTATTTGATTTCAGGTTTGTGACATCGCCTTCAATGGCGACTCGGGTAAGGAATTGTTTAATAGAGACAAAATTCCCTCACTTCTATTTTTCACCTTCTTTCACTTCTACCGCCTCAGTCGACGGGTTCTAGGGTTTGGTTTAGGGGAATGGGCTTGAAGTTTCTGTTCATCGCAGTCAGTAAACATTCGCATTCTAATTTCCCTAAATCAGTTACCTGTTCCAACAATTAGGTTTGATTAAAGAAGAAACGAGAAATTGTTACTAGTTAGGGTCGATTGAAGAAGTGATGATGAGGAATTGTAACTGATAAATGTTTGTGACTCAGATTTTATGTTAATTTCATTTGAAGTCTTTGTGGTTTCTACGTTGACCTACAAATGCTTCGGCTGCATATACAGGTATCACCCTATTGCTACCTCCTTGTGGGGAGGAGTTCTCCTCCAAAGGACCCTGTTATGATTAGAGTTGCTTGACAATCTGGTATGCCTTATTTTCCCCTTATTACACTTAGTTGTATTTGAGTGGATATCGTGGTTGGAATTTTTACTAGGGAGATTATATTTGATGTTAATTTCTAATCAATATCAGCTCTTCTGTAAGAAATAGTTCAGGTACAGGGAATAGAGTACTTGAAAAGGAAAATATTTAAACATGAAAACATTTCCATTCCTGTAATCAAAGACAAGTGACATTCAACCAACATTCTGTTCAGTAATGGAATTGAGAAGCACAACACACGAAAACTGCAAGAATTTCGAAGACTATAGCAGATTATCGCCCGACTACATGACATGGCACTAAGGTCCATGTGCTTTCCCTTCTACCCTATTACTATAGCATATATCATATATGACATGATGGCCCTTTCTTTTATATACTATTATTCTCTCTTAAAATGTGCATTCTTGTGATTGTATATCAAAACGATTAAATAAATAACATATTGGATGCCATAGCATAATAAAACATTGCATTGGTGGGCCTAAGTATCATGTCACTTTCTCATTACAATTGGTTATTGATAAGATGTCTTGGATTAGTGTGTAGTCAAGATTTGCACCTAACATAGAGTTTAATGAGGCTAGGCAATTGCACATTGTTGGTCCATTCCCATTACATAATTAATGAGTATGATTATTTTGTAGCATATTTAAACCAAAAAAAATAGGGCAAGGACAAAGAATGAACAAGGAGCTCTTGGTGACATTGGAAAGTGAAATAATAAAGCTCTAACTTAAGCTTTCTTAACTTCTCCATTCTTGATTTGGTTTAGATCCCATTAAAAGGTTTGTCTCCATTTCTTCACTCTTGATATGGGTTTGATCAGAAAGGTATAAATGAGGTTGAAAATATCCGAAAGGTATAAATGGGTTTGAACATTTTATGTATCATTTAGGATAGTTTTTATTAATATTTTGCATCATACTTTATATTATTTCATGTGCATTAGCTTAAATAATGTTCAACTCATGTCTTTCGTCATAATTCATGTACTGCTCATGTTTATATGTCGTTTGCAGATAATTCGAGTGGAGCAATACTTTGGGAGTAGCTTTGGATGCGTTTAATGGAGCATTGAAGTCTAATTGGAGCTTGAAACTTATGAAGGATGCCAAGGAATGATTGAAAGTTGTTTTGGTCAAGAAAAAAACTGACGATTTGTGTGAAAAACCACAAATTCGATAGTGCTTCACCACAAATTTGATCAAATTGATCTGTAACGACATAAATTTTCAAACCAAAATTTTCATTTTTAAAACACATAAAACTCATATATTATATTTTATAAACCACAAGTGTATCAAGTGTCAACATAAATCCACAAATAAAAATCAAATCCCATAATCCTCAACAAGGTCTTGAATAAGTGTGTGCAATCATGTTGGTGCCTTCCCGCGATCTTTGGAAGTACCTGAAACACATAACCGTTAAGCACGAAGCTTAGTGAGTTCCCCAGAATACCACGTATATCACGTTAGCCACTCGAGGCTATAACACTGTAAGACCCTCCGGTCTATGTGTCTCAGTGGGACCCTCCAGTCCCACGGCTCGTTGGACCCTCCGGTCCGGTCTGGTTGGGACCCTCCAGTCCCATGGCTCGTTGAACCCTCTGGTCCGGTCTAAGTGAGAACCCTCCGGTCTCATAGCTTGTTGGATCCTCTGGTCCGATCTCAACATCATATAATATAACACAAATATACATATCACATAAACAATGCACAACTCAAGTAAGCACATAAGACCCTCTGGTTACACATAACTACCACTCTAGGTAAAGTATAGTGAGAAGACTCACCTCAAATCAAGCAAGCTAATACCATCGTACACGAATCACCGATCTAGCCTCCATCTAATACATGTGGTGATTATCTCTAATTAGATCACAATTCTAATAAATTCATATTAAACCTTTTTTAACTATTGGTAAGGGTAAAAGACCATTTTACCCCTCCAGGATCTCAGTTCTCACATTTGATCAAGACTCTACAGGTCAACCGAAGTCAAAATCGAGTCAACAATCCATGTTGAGCCAACTCGACGAGTGCATCCAGCGGACTCGTTGAGTCCCTTCGATCCTTCAGAGGCCTTCTGAAAATCTACTCTACTCGTCGATTTGACCCGCTAACTCGATGAGTTACGGCATGCTCAGACTTATCGGGATAAACCCTAAACGACTCGTCGAGTTTGCTCATGAACTCGACAAGTTCATCCTGTCCATACTCCCATTCATACATTTTTAGGGCATATCTATCACTCCAAACACTAGATATAGGCTCCTTAGGCTTGAATGTCACGTAAAGCTTCGATCTTTACATTCATGCATGGCATAAATGCTCCATAATGCCATCACAAGCTCCAAGGAAGGTCAAATGCATGGGGACCTGCCTCTAACTCAATAAAGTTCGAATCTTTGGACCCTCAAGGTCCTCTCTACTCCAGATCTGAGGTTCTAACCTGCAACCATGTCCAAATAGCTCAAGAACACAATATGATTGAGAGAAAACCCTAAAAGCTCCCAAAAAAGAGATCTAAATAACATGTGGCCAAGATGAGGGCCTTTTACCTCTGAATATCAGCTAATGATAGAAGAATGCAAGATCCACAACCTCCTCTCGGGTAGATCCACCAAGCTTTTAAAATCCTTACTCCAAAATGCACAAGAATGCTCAAGATGGACTCTCTCTCTCTCTCTCTCTCTGTCTGACTCTCTCTCTATGCAACGAAAAGGGTAGGTTTGGGTTTCTTTCTATGAAGTGTGGCTGCTCAAGGAGACTATAAGTGCCTTTAAATAGACAACAAGCATGAGAAATTAGGGTTTCCTTCAGCAGCACTGACTCGGCGAGTCGGCTCACGGAATCGTCGAGTCCACTCATTATCCACGTCACTAGTCGCGACTCTACTTGACGTGTTGAGGCGCCAACTCGTCGAGTGAGTCCACATATCTCAAAATAAATATTTAAAATATTATACCTGGAAATCCGGATGTTACATGATCCTATGAAGATAAATTGCTACATTTTAAAGCCTAAAAGATGTTGCTGGCAGCTTGACCCCTTGTTAGTATTTTGACCATATCTCGTGAATCGTAACTCCAATTCACGAGATTCAAGAAGTTCCAGTAACCAGACAAAACTTTCGATGACTTTAGTGCTTGTGAAAAAGTAGGAAAACAAAAAAAAAAATTGATCAAATTTTCCTCAAAATTTTTATCATGTAATAGTTCACGGTTCAAAATTCTTCAGAAATCAGTTAAAGGAAAATTCGATCAGAGTACAAAACATTCGATCGTGTTTTTGAAAAGTTCGATCAAAAGTTTTGCTTACTTGCTCCGAAATTTACTAGTTTACATATAAATTCGACCTCTATTATCAGTTTGAAGCAGAGACTATCAGAGACGCCTTAGACGATGAAAAACCCTTCTAAAGGCAATGTTCTGCTACTTTCCATCACTTCCTTAAGATATGAAGATTGTGGATTATCTCCTATGTTTAGTTTAATAAGATTAGCTATTTAGTTTCTCTTTATATTAGTTTTGATCAGATTTTAGTCATGTCTAGCTAAAACCATAGTTTTCAGTTCTACAAAAGACTAGTACTTTTCATGTTATCAAACATCAGATTTAGTTTTCATTGTGTGATTCTATTTAATAATTTTAGTTTTATGCTTAATGAATGCTTGATTTTGATTCTTGTTAGTTTGATCATCTAGCTAGGGTTTAATTAATCTCTAATTGTTTTGACAATCTGGTAATAAGAAACAAGTAATAAATTGGTTCTATGTTTGGATTTGACTTTATTATAAAATGAAATTTCATATCCTTATGCTTCCGTGCTTGTGAGAAGTATTGGATATTGTTGGGAATTTTACACAGATCTTAATGCAACTTTTCTGAATTTAATTAAGAGCTTGTTTAATTAGATTAGTAAAAAGTTAAGGTTAATTGAAGAGCTTGTTTTGGTTAACTAATTAGGTAAAAGAGAATTTACTAGAGCCTATTCGTTTTTCTCAGGACCCGCTTAAATAGAACACATTCTGAATAACCAAGTCTAAATTGATTGCATGATTAGGAAAGTCGCAGCAGAACTGAATTCATTTTTATTATTGAATTTTTTTAGTTATATCACAGTTAGTTTAGTTTTACTTAATAATAAAAAAATCTCCCTTTTCATATTTTTTTGTTTTATGACTAGCATGTACCTTACACAAAGAGGCATTGACCATTAGGCTATATCCATGAGGATTCGACCCTGCTTCCATGTGCTATATATTTAGTGCATTCGAGTAGTGAAATTTTATTTTCTTAAATCGTACACAACATCGGTTTAACAATATTCTTTCCATTAACTAAGGGTCTCTAGGAGCATATATGGTGACTCTTTAGATTTGTATTCTTATTGGTGTTTGAACCGACTCAAACCAAATGTCACTGTATTTTAGGAATATATGTCTCGCATGATAAATCATCTGATATGCTTCTAAATTTTCCATGATTTTTTGGAAGTCAGGTGTTACATCCCAAAATTTATGACCAAAAATTTCATTTTTAATCAAGTAATTTATAAAAAGGGTAGTCTAAAACATCAACAGTGTCATCCAAATCATAATCGAATTCAAGTGCCGAAAATCATAACATGTCATATGAAAAGTAATATTAGAGTACAATCCCCAAGAATCTCATAATGGAGAAAAATCATAGTGTGATACGTTGCGATCATGTTGGCTCCTTTTCTTTTGAAGAGGAAGTACCTGAAACTAAAACTAAAAACCGTAAGCACAAAGCTTTGTGGGTTCCCCCATCATACCACATAATCACATACTACCAGGCATATTTGGGTGCTCAGCCTACCCTGCCAAGCATATTTGGGTGTCTGATCTACCCTGTCAAGCATATATAGGTGCTCGATCAACCCTTTTAGGCGTATCTGGGTGCCCGACCTACCGTCTGGTTTATTTCAACCAGTTACGAGGTTTATTTCACCCCTACCACTACCATATAATAACAGAGCATAAACATACTATCAGACTTATCTGGGTGCCCGACCTACCTTCTAGTTGATTTCAACCGGTTACACGGTCTATTTCACCCCTACCACCACCACATAATAACATAGCATACAAGCACATAAATCTCAACAATTAGTGGCATACCAGACAATTATCACAAGACAATCATCTCTACTGTAAACAACTACTAGTGGGCCGGTATTGGTGCCTTTGACCCACTTATATAGGAAATGTAACTCACCTCGCACTGCTGAAGTTCACTGCAAGAAATCCTTAGTTGCTGCCCTGGCAACTCCTCG